GTTTTTAAATGTTAAATTTTGAGCTGGGTGCAGTGTGACAGCGACGTGAGTGTTATACACCTGATGATGGCCGTCTGAGGCCGAAACATGTAGTGTAGGGGAACAAGATCAAAGACACAAAATATATTGTTTGCACTTGAGACTGAGTTTTTATCATTATATCATTTATCGTATGGAGTGCAACAGGATGCTTAAATATAATATTCGATTTATTAATTTCTTTCTCATAAACATTACAGATCAGCATTCGCTAACTGTTCGACTACTATTAGGCCTATATGTTGTTTAATCTGAGATGTCGTCGGCATCATTAGATAAACCTGACCAGAAATATAAGATGCTGATGCGAGTGCAATGTTGGGAAGAGAGAACCATGTAACGTTTTTCAGACGTTATTAACTTAACTTAACTCTGTGGTTTTAGTCCGCAAGTGAACTATACCGACCGAGCGACCGCCGCTTGTCGGCGAAGTTACTGCCAACTTTTGCGGATAGAGGGTGTCACGTGGTCAGCGCAACGGGTCCCCACGGTCGTTAATTTTGGTCTTCTAGACCGGATTTCAGACATTATTCGTAATTCTAAATTAGGGTCGCACATGTTTTTATTAAAAGTTGTCATTGCCAGGATGTTACCAAATATTATAACCCTGATTATTAGAATTTTTCTTACAAAATAAAAACAACCTTTTCTACTGAGGTCATATTCATCTGTCAGTGACCTAGTATTAGAGCCTAAACTGTTGATATTTATTAAATTTAAAATTCTATAGGAGAATTTCGATCAAATTTTCCACGAAATTCCGATTTTCAGCCATATCTGCTCACAGTGAAATCCACTTTACTTGAAAATATAATTGGGCAAAGAATGTCAAAGGAAATGGTGTGCACCACATTCTAGAATGCAACCTTTGAAATGTAAAATATATAATGATATATCAGTCATGTACGGAAGGTCGTGGGTTCGAGTCCCGATGAGGTCATTGGATTTTCCAATAGATCTAATCCTTCCAGCTGCATTATGGACTTGGGGTCGACTCAGCCTCTAACAGAAATGAGTACCAAGAATCTTACCGGGGATAAAGGGTGGCCGATGGGTGAGGTTGATAATCTCACCGCCATCTATGAGCGGATTGTTTAGAACATGTGGGAGCCTCGAAGTCTCAAAACCCAATGCGCCTCCATGGCCTGTTACAGGGATAGCTTTATCTTTTTTACTTCATAATTTTATATGCGTAGGTAAACGTAATTAAGAATCACATCATGAACACGTATGACGGAGTGGAGGTATAGCTTCACGAATTCCTAATCTCGGCACTATATGGAGATGAGTGGACAGCTTTACCGCTTTAGTGCCGGCAAAAATGCTTCTGGTAACCATGGGATAGTGGTTTAAGTCCGCCCCAGAGGCGGAGTGGACGCCGTGGAGAACAGAAAAATCTCCTGTCTCCCGCAGGAATCGAATACCTATTCCTCGGTTATCCAGCCCATATTCCAATCTCTATACCTAATGTCATGTCAGCATGTTAATGATTTTCAAAATTTTACACGATGTCTTTAAATAAAAGAAGAATGAACATGTGCATAATACTCATCAATTGTCTTTGGACGAATTAAGCGTTCGTTTTTCCTTTGCGTCCATAAGATGTGTGATCTAAATACTGCGGTTCTTACGTACTGAATTCTCATTCGGGGTTTCATGCAAACTATATGAAGGGGTGAGCTCCAGGAGAACACGTGACATTGCGATATGTGTGGAATGCAAAGGATTAACATAAATTCAACTTGTTTCGATCCAGAATAGTCTCTTTTCACGTACGCTTGCCAGAATTACAGACTCGCGTGCCAGCCGAGTGTAATGAGTACTACGCGTGCACACACACACACACACACACACACATACACACACACAGTGTCTAGAACATTGATCTTCAGGAAATTTCTGAATCATAACTTAATTACGTAATGTAACCGCTACGAAAATTCAGTACCGCGCTACAGAACGTCATTTTAAGTCATTTATTTAAAACAATTCTCATACTTACTTACTTACACATGGAGCTGAGCCCTTCTGGAGGAGCCGCCAATTCTGCAGCTACTCAAGAATTTCCCAGCATTTTATGGAACCCGAAGGTTCATTACAATGTTCACATGAGCCCTCCACTGGTCCCTATCCTGGGCCAGATCTATCCAATCCATACCATCCCATCCTATCTCTCTAAAATCCATTTTAATATTGTCCCCCAACCTACGCCTTGGTCTTCCCAGTGGTGTCTTTCCTTCTGGCTTTCCCACCAATATCCTATATGCCCATTTCGTGCTACATGCCCTGCCCACCTCATCCTTGACTTGACCATTCTAATTGCACTTGGAGAAGTGTACACGTTATGAAGCTCCTCATTATGCAGTTTTCTCCGACAACAATATTGTATAGCGTTAGCAAAATTATGTATTCTTGTTCTTTGTACTCACGCGTGTATGTGTAGCTAATATTTCTCAATTTTCATACAGTCATATCTGGAATTTATNTGCATTCCTCGTCTCCCCCATTCGTTCTACATGCCCTGCCCACCTCATCCTCCTTGACTTGATCATTCTAATTATACTTTGAGAGGAGTACAAGTTACGATGCTCCTCATTATGCAGTTAAAACAATACTCATAATCATAATAAATAATAATAACCATCGACGTTGGAGAAAATTACATAATGAGGAGCTTCATAACTTGTACTCTTCGCCAAGTATAGTTAGAATGATCAAGTCAAAGAGAATGAGATGGGCAGGGAATGTAGCATGAATGGGAGAAGAATGCATGTAGGATATTTGTGGGGAAGCCAGAAGGAAAGAGACCCGAATATCAAGACGTAGGCGGGTGGATAATATAAAAATAGATCTTAGGGATATAGAATTTGGTGGTATGGGCTCTACTGATTTAACTTAGGAACCAGCTGAGGACTCCTGTGGACATGGTAATGAACCTTCGGGTTCCATAAAATGCTGGGAAGTTCTTGAGTAGCTGCATAACTGGCGGCTTCTCAAGAAGGACTCAGCTTCATGAGAGGGCGAGTGAATAATAATCATCATTAACGATCAGACTTAACAGTCTGATTCGGCTCCAAGTTCAAATCCGAATTGGTCTTTCTCTGTAAGATTTGAGGCTTTCACGGCGGTGACTATGAAGAAAGCAGTCTTCTGGGATTTGGCACCGTGTATATGTGGTGTTAACCGACGTTTCGGAGGAACGTATCGCCTCCATCTTCAGGGTAGAAGAAAAAATATAAGAAATCTGCAAGCGAAGAGACCGAGAGAACCGGTAAAATCAGACAGTCTGCCCTGAGTGGGATTCGAACCCACGATCCCGGCTTCCGAGCGAGCGAAGACAGTGCATGCCTTTGACCGCTCGGCTACCGTGACCGGCAAGCTAAATTATATACACATTGGTTATACAATCCTAATGTCAAGTTTACGCGTGCGTTACGTAATTAGGAGCCTGAAGATAGCAAGTTTATGTCGAAATACGTTGGACACTTTGTAAATACTGGGAAGATAATATACACTGTGTGACGGAAAATTTTAAGTACCTCTGTTATGATCTGCAACCTCTGTAAATACTATAATATTCAACATATGTAATTAGGTGTTTGTCTGACAGTTAATTTTAACTGCTTTACTGTGTAACGCATGTACTACATAATTTCGTTATGAATTCAATGTGACACATCACAAAGCTATGGCAGATTTAGCCTACTTAGTAACTGATATATTGTGATTTGTCCTGCAGGTGCGATGTGCAGGGGGCAAGACACTAGTGCACTGTGTTGCCGGTGTGAGTCGCTCTGCCTCCTTGTGCCTCGCGTACCTCATAAAACACGAAAGGATGCCTCTGAGAAAAGCTTTCGCTCATCTGAGGTCAAGGCGGCCTTCGATCCGTCCAAACACTGGCTTCTTCACGCAACTGATAGAGTTCGAAAGAAGACTATTTGGTGCAGCCACGGTCTCCATGGTACACAATCAGGCTGCAGGAACCATCATACCAGATGTGTACGAGGTGGAGTACCAGAACATGTTGTGGTACCAGAAACACTATAGCAGGAACTTCAGGCCACACTGATACAAAGTGTCCTGGTGCATTGGAGCATGCAGTTTTACACGCTGATATTCTTTCACGGGATCTTTTATCCAGAGAAACCAATTTCGTGCTTGTGGCCACAGTTTTATTCTATATATGGCACAGTTAAGATAATTAAGTTAATAAAATGAGTGATGAATGTGAGCTTCTGCTATATGGACTCCTTTCCTACTTACTCCTTAGCACTTCTGCGCTCTACGAAACTTCACCCCTACAACAGATGTTCATTCTCCTCCTTCATCTTCATTTCTCCTCTATCTGATTCCATAAACAGTTCTCCATATTCTCCATCCATCTCCGTCTGGGTCTTCCCATTTTTCTTGTAACTCCTGGCCTACTTTAAAAAATTTTCTTAGCCATCTTTGTTTGATTCATTGTAAACGCAAGCCCCAAACATTCCAACCTTTTCATTTTAATACCTACTGCCAGATGAAGGGTCTTTATGGTTATAATTCCCTCTGTTCTTAGTTATCTATGATTCCCTACGCCTCTTTCTCTGGTTACTGTTCGGCACACCTTCCTTAGCAGCATCCCTTCCCACGTATTTAACATAATCTTTGTAATTAATATAGTTTACTGTAAGTAAAGTAAAGTAAAGCTATCCCTGTACCAGGCCGTGAAGGCCCATGGGGTTGTGAGACGTTGAGGGTCCCACATTATCTAGACAATCGGTTCAAAGATGGCGTTAAGGTTGTCAGCCTTAAGCTCCGGCCGCGCTTTACTCCCCAGGAAAATTATTTCATTAATTCCTGGTACTCATTTCTGTTAGAGGCTGAGTGAACCCCAGGGGCCTAGTGCGGCTGGAAGGATTAGGTCAACTGAAAGAAATCCAATGACCTCTTACTGTACGGACTAAAATGTACAAAAAGTATATAATCTAGCACATAAAGTATATAACTTGAATATTCAATAATATAACAATATATAATACAAACGACAGTGTTAGTCACAACCGCTACTGGCAGAAGTTGTTTGAAAGTATCATATAAGTTTCAGTTTTAATACGTTAAAAGGATTTTTCTGTACAGAATTTCATTAAAAAAAATAGTTCACTGACAATCGAAAAATCACGAATGGTGTTACGCTTTTTCGTTACATGTAAAGCACGCCTTAAAACTACACTACACTTTTAGTGAAAGGTCGGCGCACATGTTAACCTCAAACTCAGTGGAATAATGTGAGTCCGGAAAAAAAAATGAACTGAGTGAAACACGCTAAGGTGAAAGGTCTCGTGAACTGACTAAACGGTGCATGAATATGTCGTATATGCGTTTACTGTGTCTAACGGCTCGAATTTCACGCAAGTCGTCACACAAACGTGCAATTGTGCGATTGAAGTCCCGTCGTCTGTGATTGGGGCAACAGAATTGTACCGAACTTAACCGTATCACAAACAGTGATACAAACGAACCGCAAAGTCCGCATAGCTCTGAACGCGGTTATAATGAAGATTATATCTTACACAGAATATATTTTAACTCAAGTAAGATTTGAGGTTTTCACGGCAATGACTATAAAGAATGCCGTCTTCTGGGATGTGGAGCGGTGTAGATCTTGTGTTAACCGACGTTTCGGAGGAACATATCGCCTCCATCTTCAGGGTAGAAAAAATCCGCGAGCGAGGAACCAGTGTGAGTAGGTGGCTGCAACTTCGCTCGCGGATTTTTCTACCCTCAAGATCTAGGCGATACGTTTCTCCGAAACGTCGGTTCAAACCTTCCTAAATGAAAGTCCATTACACCAACAAAGGCTAAACTGGACACAAAAGCTAAATTCACACCGCCTAACCATAAATCCTACCACGGGCACCTAACGGGGAAAGCAAGGGACATTACCTTTCAATAACACCTAATAATTATAAATATCACTTGCACAAGGTGTCCAACTCGACCTTAAAACCTAAGCCCTGAGTCATGGCGGCTACCGCCAGAAAACACGAGTTGCCTGGCACGGTGCTATGTTGTTACCATGACCAGCCTGGGGCCGGACTGGACCATGATAAGACCGTGCCGTGCTATGGCGTACCTGATTTACTGCAAGTACCCAAACCATCCTCCTGCGGATGGGCCCTCAACCGCTAAGGGTTCCGCACGGCACTGGTTTTAACCTTACCTGTCTGCGCATTCCTCCTCTTCACTTGGTTCCATGTCTGAATTCTGTCTGGGATGAACTTAGATATTTCCAGCTGTATGATGCGGCCGTTGACATAATCCAAGAGAATGGCACTAAACACTATATCACAAATACGTAGGTACTCATTATAATCACACACGCGCGCAATCAAATCACAGCACAACACAAATTTGTAGTCCTGTACCATGAACAATAACAAATCTAACCACTGTAGTACTTAAAAATAGGTGGCGCAATATTATGTATTATTGCACAGATGTATGTACGCATGTCTGCTAAATCAACACCAAAGTGTCAGTAACATTGCTACTGACATCTGTGTGATAGGTTATAACATGTTAAAATCGAGTCCTTTTATAATGTCACGTAATATTCTGTATTACATGAATGCAAGATTAAATTTGAATGATAGGCTGCAAACGACCAGTGGGAGAGGATTCAAAACGAAGTGTCGTGAATAAAATCACGAACATATCTCTAAAGAAGTGTACCAACACCAACTTCGAGGAATCAACGCCTCAGCAATGTAACTGCATGAGATATCACACTCATCTGCTCATAAGGGAGTCAATTTCAATACATCCGAAAGATGTCACTGTCAACAACATGCAGTGGTTGCATTACGTATTACTTTCATTGAAAGACCAGAATTAAGCAGCGTGACACAGACTTCCCCAAATTTCGATCGTATTTCAACATGAAGTGAATTTATATGTATTATTTTCTTTTACTGCTAGTGAGGTGGGACTATTTGGACCGAAGAGGGATGAAGTGACAGGAGGTTGGAGAAAACTGCATAATGAGGAGCTTCATAACTTGCACTCTTCTCCAAGTATAATTAGAATGATCAAGTCAAGGAGGATGAGGTGGGCAGGTCATGTAGCACGAATGGGGGAGACGAGGAATGCGTATAGGATATTGGTGGGAGAGCCTGAAGGAAAGAGAGCACTGGGAAGACCAAG